ATTCACAAATGTAGAAAATTTCACCATGTTTTTTTTTTTTTTTTGTGTCTTTAATAATGACTTTTTCGTGAAACCTTACGCTTAAATTATACCCTAAAAAATCCTTGGGGAATCGTTAAACCAACGAATACGGTGCATAGTTAAATTGCGGCTATTCTGAACACTACCAACAATAAATTAAAAGGAGTAAAAATAGTAAATAAATAAAAAACGTGTAAAACAAAATAGCACGTGGACTTTTTAAAATATAAAATACTGAAATTGGCACTTTATAAAACAACTATATAAATAATATAAAATATCACAGTATAAAAATAACTACTGCAACCGGGCACGACAGTATTGTCTTTTGGTTTTTTTTTAATAATATTACTAAATTTCCACCATATGAACAGAAAACCTCCTATAATATAAAAATAAACAATTAAAATATATTAAATAATAATAATAAAAAGTAAATAACAAACGCATCAAAAATACAAATAAAAATAAGTAAATAAATAATAATAATAATAATAAACTCAATTGTAACGAATGCTGCAATGCTGAAATTTCTTTGGGGGGGGAATGCTTACGATTCACACACACACGAGCCAGAAAACAAACCGGAATTTCCGGTTTCTCGATCCACTCGCTGACTATAAAAGAAAATTAATTAATTACAATTAACAACAAAGGCTAATAATTACGCTTGACAGAAAGTTCGAGTGGAAATCCCGTTCGACTTTCGGATCCGATTACGCAAACTTTCTGTTTGACGTCACTAGTGCTATTACGATTTCGTTACTTTTTTAAAGTGTTTCTATTTTATAAATAAATATATATATATATTTGTTTATATGTATATATATTCGAATAAATACGGTGGAAACAAACGGATCGGGCGGGCACGCGGCTGCGTAATTGCGAATACGTAACAAAATTGGCTTGCATTTTAATTAAATTGTTACGACATTAAATATACGTAAACGAGCCTCTATTTACGTCGTACGAGTACAAACGTTCGACAGATTTAAAACGTCTTAAACACTTACGAAAATCCCAATGACATTTCAGCATTTACAGGACGATTACTCTAAAGGTTCGAGATTACGCGACCTTTTTTGTATATATATATTTTTTCTTTTCTTTCTTTATAACGCATTTGTTAAAGACAAAGAAAAATAAGAGGTACGAATACGTCTTAAAATATCGACTCGTGGTTTTCTGGAATGGAAAAATTAAATACGGACTAAACTAAATTCGATTACCACTTAGCCATTCCCGGCTTACTCAATGACATAAAATATATCTGACACGAAGAACTGCCTTTGGCCGACGAAAAAAACACCTGAAATATAAGAAAACGGTGACGTCACTTATAATTATCGATTTAGTACAAAAATATAAGTAATAATCTATAATATGAATTTTTTACCGTCCAAATACAAATTACGGGACGCGGGTGGTGCACGAACCGGCGTACCACCAGCGTCCGTGCTCGAAGAGTTTTAAGGCGCTTCGAACATCGGGCTTTGTCTTTAAAAAAGGGGGACCTTCCCCGGTTGTAAGCTAATTTTCACTACTTCAATTGTCGAAGCGAATAAAGTCAACAATACAAACAATTGAAATGTTTTTCGGCGTATAAATCGGGTCGGAAAGGAACCGCAAATTTTTAGGGTTTGGTAAAAGGCCGTCTTAACTTGGTTTTACGGTATTAAAACTTAAGAGTTTTAAAGAGAGATAGAAAAGAAAAAAGTTTCATACCTTATCATTTTTTTCGCATAGAAATTTTAATCTCTGAGCTTTTTTATGCATGAAGACGCCGTCTAAATGGCCGTTTTCCACGCTCCTTATTTCGATCGCTTTATTTCCCCATCCCATGATTTGCTCGGTTCCAATATAAGCTGAAAAAAAGAAACAATAGATTTTTATTCTGTTTAACGGTTACGGCGGTACTCCAATTCAAAGCCAATTTTTTCCCATAAAAAATTCAAAGGAAATTAACCCGTTCCCTAATCCCAAAAAAGCTCGTTTTAATTCACAATTTGTGCTGAAATAACGCGAGTAAATGCACTAGTTAATACTAAACGTAATTAAACGGGCTATTATTAATAATTAGATATTAAGTAATTTGCCATTAGTGATAGATGTTAGGCGCCATCTCTTATCCAAATTATTATTAATGCATAAAACAATGAAAACAATAATAGTTTTAAAACAGAGGAAAAAGTAACTAATAAAAAAAAACGCCAAAGAAATTGGCACGCGTATCGACGGATTTTTTGTTGTTTGTATCCCAAAATAAAAATTTATAACTTAACCCGATGTGGCAACACTCCGTGTAGTGCGTGACCACACTGGAAGGCCGTCTTTGTTGGCGTTCAAGTTTCCAAAAAAAAAAAAAAAAGTTCGACTTTGGGGGCAAAGTCTTTTCCCGGAAAAGTCGAACACTTCACGTTTTGAATGAAAGAACGAACCGAGTTAATCAAATTACGTAAAAAAAGATATCGTACTTACGATTATATGTAACTTACCGACCGACGATGGCATTTCGCCCCACTGCAACACTATGTTCTTGATAACTTTACCGCTAGTGTTGACGTAAATTCCTTCGTCTGTACAAAAACAAATGGATGTTTTCAGATATTACATTTGGATGATTAAAAATTGCAACGTGCTTAAATTCCACTCACTATCGTAGCAAAGTAACAACTGCAGTCCATTCGAATTTGGCAAAGTGACGATGGCGTAGGGTGTAATGGGTCCTTGATTCTATCGGAGATAATAGAAAAGTACTTGAAATTTTATTAAGCCATAAAGAAAATATTTTATGAATTAATATTCCTCCGATAAACGCCGGGCGATGGAAGTTTAGCGCCTCGCAAACTGCCCACTAGCATCAAAAGAAGCATTTAGTGACGGATTGCAGGGGCATTGGAAACTTGACCGAACAATACACGCGTTGTCATGTCTACATAAAATGAAACTCTCGTTAAGTAAAGAACACTCCAAACTGCAGAAAATCGGAATTTACATTTAAAATATTGCGATTAATAATTTATTAAACGCAATATATTCATCTTAATCACCTGAATAATAATTTGCCCATGGCAATTTGATAACCGTAATTAAAAGCAAAAAAGGGTTGAGGTGCTCGTCATTTACAATCAGTGATGCCAATTTAAATTTTTCCCCTAAATTTAAAATGCCTGAAGTGAAAATCTGTTTGTCCGGATCGTCGAGAGACCAATATTTTTTCGATAGGTACTGTACTCGGAGCAAAACTATTCAGGGATAATCTCGAGTCTGTTCCCCTAAACACGACAGAAGGTTGGCAACTTTCCTTATTTCGTTGAAAGGCGCTTTCACCATCCGTGGCCCGTTCACTTTTAGAAAAGCGACATTCTACGAAAAGCTCATCACGAGTAACACTTTCAATTGTGTATGAATTTTCGGGATAATTATTACAATTACTCACGTGAACCGGAAGATATACATCGTAGAGGGTGCTGGAATCCAAATCTACGGCGTGGAATCCCGTCTGAGAGCCATAAACTACTTTCAGTCGAACTCCCTCTTCGATCGTCATGTCGACCAGAAGGGGTTTGTGTAATAGATCCGGGAACGACTTGAAGGCCATGAATTTGTGATATGGTTTGGGAGCCCAGGCGTAGATTTCTATCCTTTCCTTCAGTGCTATCACCAAAAATTTTATCTTCTCGTATTTCACTGAAATATTTCATTAAAAATTAAAAATCTTTAGTTTCATTAGTAAGCGAAATTACCACGTACAAGAATTAATTATTTGTAAATCGTACGCGGCATTTGCAAAATGGTTGGCGAGCGAAATTCGAAAATTCCGAGAGAGAAATTAATTTGGATCCTTATTTTTCGTGTAAATCAAACAACATAGAATAAATTATTCGTAGATGGATGGAGATAACGTCTGGCTCGTGGAAATTAAGAACGATTCACGCGTTATTTGGTATACAGTACTGGATTTGTAAACCAGTACAGATGCGCTCCCGGAAATACGACTTACACTTCGCATTTACCAATTTCTACAAAAACTACACGAAAGTGAGGCTATTCTCAGCTTCCGGTCGCTGGACAAATTCACTCTTCGTCACGCAACGCAGTTAACCTTTAAGAAAAATTAACACACAACTTAAAAATGCGCCGACTGGTTTAACAGAAGCGACGTCACTCGTGACGTCGATCTCGAGTCGATTCTTTCCGTAGACAGACTATAAACTGTGGCAAGCAACAAACGTAGCCCTCGCTATCGGCCCAAAATCATTAATGTAGACGTCGTATGTATGGCTTGCTTGCCACAGAAGCTCGGCAACAACTAGGCCAAGTTGTGTTTTCGTGAAATCCGGAGAAAGGTCGCTCGCTCATTTCTGCGAAACGAGGAACACACGCGGAACATGGCCAGAATCGACGCCTAAAATGTTTTATAACCAGTAATACGTGTACAAAAATTTTACAAGTATGCACAGGCATATATTCCGAGAAATACGTCATTATGCAATTATCACAGAGCGCGAGTATTACACTACACCATATAGGCTATACGTAACACAATTGTATCTGGTTATAAACAGAAAAGGTAGAATGTGGCTAGGAATTTTTTGGCTCCATTATAATCTTACGGAACCAGTTTAAGTAATTCGTCGTTAAGTTGTTACGTATTGTGTACAGCTGTACACCGTCCCCGTAAACGCAATTAACGGACGTTTTCTAACCGAAAATACACGAAGCTCAAATATAATATGATTTTCTAACAATAATTACGTTACACTCTCGCTAACGGAACCAATTATGTTCGGATTAGCATAATTACGTAAAAAAAAAAGAACCGCAGACAAACGTGCTCGCTTTTACTAAAGATACAGTACAAATTCATTTCATATAAATTAAGATTATTTTGGGGAGGGACTTAACAACCACTAGAAAAAAACAAGCGATTAAATAGAGTTCGGATCAGCAAGAGTGCAGTCGCCCAGGCAAGAAAATACGACGAAGACAAAGTATATCGTGCTGGAAATGGATGGTGACACACATAATTACGTCACAATGGATTTCCAGCACTTCTCTAATGATAAAAATCGAACATATCATAAACAATTAATACCAGAGTTGACAAAGCATGTTAATAATTGGAAAGTTCAGAGATAGAGACTACGACTACCAGCGAAATGCAAAGACATTAGCAGCTATATTATCAATGGAAAATCTAAACAAGAACAAGAATTTAGGACTAATACAATACAACCATACAAATTAAGCTACATCAGATGGAATTCCTCGGAAGTATTTTGAATAATTTACCACAAAAATAAAAACCTGCAAGAATTGGAGAGGCCGCAAATTGTACAGCATGATCGGCATTAAGTCTTCATTCCTGTTATTAATTACATTAAGTCGGTAATTAAATACGATTAATTACTGATTTGCATATTTTTTTTTTTGGAAAAAAGTTAATTTTTGGCTTTAGTGCCCAACAGTATGTACATTTTATATCGTGGTTGTTTGCTTCTATCCTAAGCTTCTTCATAAAGAATGTAATTTGTAGCAAACTGTTGCTGCTTATATGGCTATAGAATTTACTTATATTTGCGTTTACAAATTCAAGAATAAGCAAATTCACTTTAAACATAAATTTATAACTTACTTTTAACAGTCACAAAGAAAAAGAACAGTTTAACAGACTGTAAAATGCTATTCAATTTAATTTTGTTAGTGTTTTCCATGGGTTTTTTTTTGTTTCAATCATCCAGTGGATATTAGAGGACCTTCTTATTGAATCCATTAAGGGTTGGGTCGACCCACTACGGGACAGCCAACATCCCAAAGAATATCTGGGGTTTTGACCCATTCGACAGTGGGTCCGCAAGCAGCTTGCCGAGGGTTGGCACAAAGATATATAACACGTAATTTTAATAGTGATTCAGAATTATTAACAGTACTTAGGAAACAGATACTATCATACATTTGGAGGAAAAAAATCCCAAATAAATGCAGGCCTTACATTCAACAGTATTTGGGTAAATGTAAAAACAATTAACATTCAGAATAGACACATAGTATCTAATTATTAATTACAAAATGTCAAAAACCCCACTTTGTTTATTAGTGGTTTTCTTACATTACATTTTAAATGTACAGTACTTGTGATGTACATATTGAGCATTAGCCAACATGTTCTCTTCTTTCCTTCTATGCAAGCAATACACTCATGTACTGCAAAGTGCATCCAGATCAGGAAAGACATTTTGAATGCTTTCTGTACCATCAGCTTACACTGCTGCTTTGTTTAATAAGCTTGTTTTCAAAACAAAGCTGCATTCTACTTATCATTCTTTTTGTTTACTGCTTCCCTAAACATGTACTAGGTAATTTCTTCATTGCAAAGCTGTATTTCTTTAACTACTGACAACAGGACCTGTGTTCACGTATGGGATTTTTTTCCTCCAAATATGCCATAGCAGCAGCTTCCTAATTTCTGTTCATACAGTCTGAATCACTTCTGTGTGTATACTGTGTTTCTTGTAAGATGTTACAAGTCAGTAATTTAGAAAATAGGCTCATAATAAAAAAATTGATAATGAAAGGTTAAAGTTTCCAAGGTGTCCTGTTCCCCTTCTGGAACAAGGGGCAACTTCAAAATTTCAAACGAAACCAGCCCAATTTTTTATTTTTAATATCTTTTGGATTCTCTTTGAAAATGTAAAAAATTGGGGTTGTCCCATTTGAAATTTTAAAGTTGCTGCATGTTTTGTAGTATATAACAGAACCGATGGATGCGAGAAACTTTATTTTTTTATATTGTAACTTAAAAATAGTATAACCAATAGGAAGAATTCTCACCTGTTGTCTGGTGTGCTGATGAAGAGAAGCAGAATCCACAGAAGGAAAAAAAATAAACAAATGTAAGAAGAGTAATAGTTTTGATAGTTAAAAATATATATAATTAATTAATAAAAGATTAAGAGACGATACTAATATTAAAAATTATATATAAAATACAGTAAAATTTGACACTATGATTAATGCTTTTTTTTATAATTTCTAGTTCTTAGTGTTCACACCTTCAAAGAATATAAATTAATTAATAAAGCACTAAGAATATTGATTACAAGGCAAATGGCATTAACTGCCAAGTTATCAGAATGTTAAACTATTTAATTATTAATTTATCCATATTTAACATTCCTTTGTTTACTTTGTGGCTGAACAGATAAAATCACCAAACATTGGGAAGTTGTGGATCCACGCCCATAATCGACTCCCACTATTTGGTCAAAGGGACAAATACTGTGATAAGTGGCATTTTCTGGGTTTTCTTCACGTGCCTAACACCTAAATAGGGACCAGTTTCCACACAAAGTCCCCAGGAGGTACCCCCTCTCAGAAGATTGCCCTCACGTTGCATTGTCTTATCCCATTAATTCAACAATTCTTTATAATCGGTAATTTTTTTCCACTCAATTTTGTTTAAACTAAACTTAAAAATATGATTATTGTCACAAAACTTGCCAAAACTTTCAGTTTTTTTTTCCTACATAAAAATATTTGGTTCAGTTGGGATTATAAAAATTAGTAATAATATTTTAGATAGTGGATTTGCTTATGAAATTTGATTTCATCCCGATACAAAACCAATCCTCATCTCAATAGTGTTACACAAGGGCACTGTAAATGTCTGTATTTAAAGACAGGATAATAAAAGCAGGACAATGGCTATTTTTGCCTTTTTGTATCATCTATTGAATCACCCTATTCATTCATTACACAATGTCCAAAAATACAGTATTAATTCTTATTTTGAAAGCAAATACTATTCTTGAAAGGGAAATTTAAAACTAATTTTTTTTTTTCATATTTTAATTTGTTAATAATTTCTCTCCAGGACTGCATATGAATCTATTTGATGACAGAACTAATACCACACAATTTCATTTCATAAAGAAATGTTTCAGATTGGAATTCAGCTTTATTATTCTTGGCATTATCAGAGAATTTCAGATCAAATCTCTCAAATATACAACCATTTAGTTGTATGTTAATCTAAATTATTCAAATAATTACAAAATACAACTAACTAATAATGAAAGATAGTGTAAGACTACATCCCACATCTTTGCAGGCAAAGGAAGATCTTGAACATAGTATGAATATACATTATTATATAATGAAGTGTAGGATGAGAATTTGAAAATCGGTATATAAATTTTCATAATTTTGTTCTGTAGCTTTCAAATTATTACTCATTTGTCAGGAAAATATATATACACAGTAAACTAGCGTGTATTTATTTTCTAAATACCAGAATTTCAGAAACAAAGAAAAAGGCATTAAAAAAATAGGACAACATTAAAATAAGAAGTCTTGTTGGAATCTTTGTTGGAAGAATACTCTGTATTATATCCTCTTAGCTTTGGAAACCTCCTCTGCAAATTTATCTTGTATATTTCTGTTTTTCTGTTTAATATATCAACCGTAATTGGCCAATGTACTCATTCAAATTAGCCATGTAATCATTCAATGTTACTCAAAAATTTCATTCCGTTTCTTTTCAGGTTTAAAAATTCATCTTGGCAAATTCTATCAACTTTTCATCCGATACACTTAGGTTACGGACATGATACTTTTCCTGATCCAGGAAATTTTATCCTTGTCGACCCTTTAATTACTCCCATTCACATTTGGCTAGAATCGTATTT